GGCGCCTTAGCCGGTTGAGCTACAGGCGCCGAGCCAAAATAGCTTTTTTTTAAAAAAAAAATCCTAAACACGACTCACACATAATTTTTGGCTTCAGGTGGCTACTCTAAGAGCTGATGATAAGACAAGTGCCTCCTTCTCCTCCCTCCCTGGACAAGGTGCCATTTACAATGTCATTGTTTGGGACCCATTCCTAAATACGTCTGCGGCTTATGTTCCTGCTCACACATACGCTTGCAGCTTTAAGGATGTGGAGGGTAACTGTGCTTCGCTTGGTGAGTATGTGCATTTCAACTCTTACCAGTTTCTCTTTGGCTTTGCAGGTCTGTATCAACTAAAGATAAGTCTGCGCAACTTAAAGATATTTTTAAAAATGCCTTTGTATAGTTTTTATTCGTTCATTTAACAGATGCCTTTCGCGTCCCTGCCTTGTTCCATTCTCTGTTTTAGGCACCAGTATACGTGTATGGCAGTGAATAAAACAGCCAGAATCTTACCCTTCTGGATCTTATGTTTTAGCAGAGAAGACAAGATGAGACAGATGAGATAAATTTATAAAATATATAGTGACTGAGAAAGCGATGAGCACTAAGAAGGAAAGTAAAGTAGGAAAGGGAGATAACAAGGGGCAGGAAGAGGAAAATTGGCGATAGCATGTCCAGGAGGTCCTTGTGGGGAAGGTAGCCTTTGAGTGAAGAACCACAGCGAGGCAGGGAGCCACACACATACTAGAGGGAGGTGCCTGCTAGGCCCAGGGGGAAGCCAGTGTATCTTAATATTTTATTTTATTTTACTTATTTATTTATTTTTCGTTTATTTTGAAACAGAGTCTTTGTCACCCTCTGTTGAGTGCATGGAGTCATAGCTCACAGCAATCTCAAACTCTTGGGCTCAAGAGATCCTCTTGTCTCAGCCTCCCGAGTAGCTGGGACTACAGGCACCCACCACAACAGGCTATTTTTTTTTTTACAGATGAAGCCTCGCTCTTGCTCAGTCTGGTCTTGAACCTATGAGCTCAGGCAATTCACCCACCTTGGCCTCTGAAGATACAGTACTGTCTTTGATCTATAGATGTTAATCAGATTTTGCTGTTGTTTGTTTTGTCCTTTATAAGCAAAAAAAAAAAAATTTTTTTTTTCTTGTCCAAGGTTTAATTTAGATACTGTGCTGTGGCTGGGCATGGTGGCTCATGCCTAGAATCCTAGCACTATGGGAGGCCAAAGTGCATGGATTGCCTAAACTCAGGAATTTGAGACCAGCCTGAGCAAGCGTGAGACCCATCTCTAGAAAATAAATTGCTGACTATTGTGGTGGGCACCTGTAGTCCTAGCTACTCAGGAGGCTGAGGCAAGAGGATTGCTTGAGCCCAAGAGTTTCAGGTTGCTATGATCTGTGACACTACGGCACTCTACCCAGGTTGAAAAAGTGAGACTCTGTCTCAAAAAAAAAACCACATAAATAATGTGTTGCATTTAACTCTAGTAAGTCTCTTAGTATTCCATTATGTGGAACAGTTCCTTTATCTTTTTTTCTTTTTCTTAATCTTTTAAGACCTTCACATTTTTGAAGGGTAGGCTATGTATTTTTTTAAGACTGTCCTTAGTTTGGGTTAGTTTTATGCTTTCTCATAATTAAATTCAGATTGTGCATTTTTGGCAGGAACACAGAAGAAGCGATGTTGTACCCTTTTCAGGACACACTTGTTATTTATTTGGCCCATTGTCAGTGGTGATGCCCTGGCATACTTGATTGTGTCTGCCAGGTTTCCCCTCTGTAAAAATAACTATTTTCCCCTGTAAGTTAACTGTCTGTTTGGGGTATCAGTAAATATCCCTTTCTCAAACTCTCACTGGCTAGTTTTAGTACCCACTGAACATTGCCTAAAATGTTTATTACTAGGTGCTTGCCAAATGGCATTTTTCTTTTCTTTTCTTTTCTTTTCTTTTTTTTTTTTTTTTGAGACAGAGCCTCAAGCTGTTGCCCTGGGTAGAGTGCTATGGCATCATAGCTCACGGCAACCACCAGCTCCTGGGCTTAAGTGATACTCTTGCCTCAGCCTCCCAGGTAGCTGGGACTACAGGCGCCTGCCACAATGCCTGGCTATTTTTTGGTTGTAGTTGTCATTGTTGTTTGGCAGGCTGGGGCTGGATTCGAACCAACCAGCTCTGGTGTGTCTGGCTGGCACCTTAGCCACTTGAGCCACAGGCGCTGAGCCACCAAATGGCATTTTTCTAATGTCATTATTCCTTCTGTGTTTATTAGTTGGCATTCTACCATAAGGAAGAGTTCTCTGCTCTCCTTTTATTGATCTATGTCTTTATTTATATAAGCCTGGAACCATAGATTCCTATTTTATTCTCTGGATTATATTCCTTTATGTCATTTATTTTCATGTATAAATTGTCCTAGATTTGGCCACTCAGTGGCCAGATATATTTTGAAATAAGAGTGTGCCAGTGGATTGGATAAAGTGTTTGAGAGAGAGCTGTAAAGGATGACTTTGTAGTTTCAGGTCTGATCAAGTAGAGAGAGAGCAGCTTGTCCGTTCAGTGTTCACATGTTGAATTTGCGAGCTCTGTTAAGCCATTGTGTGCAGATATTTCATTGACTCTTGTCAATTCAGCAGAAAGGTCTGGGCTAGAGATTATCTTGGAAGTCATCAGATTAGATATATGAGACGTAAGGCCACAGAGAGATGGTATCATTTTAGAGCACGTAGAAAAGGAAAGAGGTCTAAGGACTGAGGCCTGGTACTCCGATGAGTTTAGAAATTGGAAATCCTACTAAGGGGACTGAGAAGGAGCAGCCAAAGTGGTAAAAGCAAACTGTTGTTTTTTGAAGCCAAGGGGAGAAAGTGTTTTGAGAGAGATCCACAGTGTCAGATGTTGCTGAGAAAAGAGACTGAAATGACTCTGGGTTCTGCAACTTGGAGGCCACTGGTACCAACAGCAGCTTCTCCAGTGGTGTGATGTTGCAAAAGCCTGACCTGGATTATGTTCAAGAACAAATAGGAGGATAGAAATTGGAGAAAGTGTTCAGATAGCTGTTTTATGGAGTTTTGCTCTAAAGAATAAAGTCTTTTGTGTCTGAGCCAGAGATTAGTGTTCTTTCCCTCTGTTAGAGCCAAATCCCATTGTTGAAGAAAAACCAAATTCAGTGGAACTTGTTAATACCTAGAGAGGAAGATTTTATTCAAGAGTTGCCAGGCACGGTGACTCACACCTGTAATCCTAGCATTCTGGGAGGCCGAGGTGGGTGGCTTGCCTGAGCTTACAGATTGGAGACCAGCCTGAGCCAGAGCAAGACCTCATCTCTAAAAAAAAAAAAAAAGTGTGTGGTGTGGGGAGTATTGCAGTAGGTATAGGGACCACTGCAATGGAATTTTGCAGAGGGGGGCTCAACTCCTAATACAGCATAGGCAAGTAGGAATCTAGAGCCAAGTAGCAGGGTGGAAGTCAGTGGATGGAAAACTACTAAGAGAAAACGCTGGGAGTTAGGGGGATTCTGTCTAAAACCGATGTCACAGGATTCCTGCTGCATTTAGGCCAGGGTAAGCAGACATTGCCTGGGGGATGGCGGAGGATGAGGAACCTGATCAGACATGAGGTGTGATCAGATATGGAGGGTGCATATCACAGTTCTTGCTGAAAGTGGATTTTACAGCGATGTGCACAGATGGGCCTAAGAGAAGGTTCAAGAACCTGACTAAAGTTTGGCCAAGCAAAGACTCTGTCCGTGCTCAGTTTTTCCCTCCTACTCATGCTTAAGGTCCTTGAGAGGTACGGTTCAAGAGACCTAGGCAGATAAAATTTCTGTGTTTTTAACTGAAGGACCAAGTTATGTCTGGGTCCCTTCATTTCTTTCCTTGAACCTTTGCACCAGCGCCCCGTCTAATCAGAAACATCCCTGGGCCCTGGCTTAGGAGATGGAGAGCTTGGACCTGGTTGTTCTGGCCGGATTCGAGTCCTCCTAGTGATGTCAGTCCTATTGTCGCTTTCATATTCAAGCTGGACAAGTACTGGAGAGCTTGGGAGGGAGGATGTGTCCACCTTGCCTTTTAACTACAATGTTGGCCTCTGTATCATAACCTTTTGTGGATACCTGATACCTTGATGGGTAGAGACACTCTAAACCTTGGCTCTCTCTTGTCTTCCATTTGCTCCTTTGTCCTCATTGCCCCCAAAGTGACTGCCTCTTTTGTCTCTTGTGTTATCTCTAGATTCCTCTTTTTTTTTTTTTGAGACAAGTCTCACTCTGTTGCTCAGGCTAGAGTGCCATGGCATCAGCCTAGCTCACAACAAACTCAAACTCCTGAGTTCAAGTGATCCTCCTGCCTCAGCCTCCCGAGCAGCTGGGACTAGTTACCTGTCACAATGGCCCGCCTATTTTTTTCTTTTTTTAGTAGAGACGGGGTCTTGCTCTTGCTTATACTAGTCTCAAATTCCCAAGCTCAAGTGATTCTCCCATCTCAGCCTCCTAGAGTGCTAGATTCTACTTCCTATGAAACCTTCTCTACTGTCTGATTTTACTTGTTTTTTTACAGACAGGGTCATGCTCTATCACCCAGGCTGGAGTGCAGTGGTATGATCATAGCTCATTGTGACCTTGAACTCATGGGCTCAAATGATCCCTCCAGCTCAACCTCCTGATTAGCAGGACCTACATGTGTGCTACCTTGCCCACCTAATTAAAAAAAAAATTGTTTTTGTAGAGACAAGGTCTTGCTATGTTGCTCAGGCTGGTATTAAATTCCTAGGCTCAAGCAGTCCTCCTGCCTTGGTCTCCCAAAGTGCTGGGATTACAGGTGTGAGCTACTGTACTCAGCTGCTAATTTTACCTGTATAATTTTTTTCTTTACTTCCCTCTCTGCCTTCTTTCTTGGTACTGTGAGAAAGGATTCTATTTAGTTCCCCCTCTGATGTCATGGAAGAATATTTAACTATGTGCATCAGTTTTTATTGGGTTGGAAGACCTTGCTATCCTGATGCTTGTACTTGCTGGAGACTTTCACCAGATTTCCATTTGAAGAAA